TCGAGGGTGCAGCCGTCGGTGTCCAAAAAGGACCAGAGGGTGTACGAGGCGCTGCGCAACAAGCTGCGCGCGGTCCGCGGGCACCTGGGCGGCGCAAGCGGCGGCGGCGCCAGCGCGGCAGTGTCCGCCGGCGACGGGGGCGGCGGCGGCGGCGGCGCGGCGGGCGAGGGGCTCGAGGCGTCGGACGGCGCGCGGCCGATGGACACGGCGGCGGCGGGCGCGGGGCCGGGAAGGGAGGAGGGGATGGACGGGGTGGATGGCCCGGACGCGGCCGCTGACCCTATGAATGAGTGACAGGCACCGCACACACCGGCGACCCGAGCCCCCCGCTTGTACCACCGCATGCACCGGTGTAATTTTGAAGCCTGCTTCAACATCAGTCGCCAGCGTGACGGTGCTCAAGGGTAGAGCAAGCATTGATGCGAGGACTGGCAGGAAGGCAATAGGGCCGCAGAAGCTGCATCAGGGGTCGATGATGCTGCAGGTGCTGCTGTGCCATGTTCCCCTTGTCCACTTCAGACACCGACATTTGACCCGCACCAATACTCCCCTTCCTGGCCTAAGCAGCGCTCTACTCCACTGAGTTCCAATGCACAACGCCCGCCATCTGAGTGATGGGGTCAATGAGCGCTCGCCGCTCCCCAGTCAAGGTTTGCCAGCTGTGCAGCCAGGGGCCCTGATTGATTCCCCATCTCAATCATTCAGCAGCTAGCTCATGACAGGCGCAGTGAGGACCAGCCCCATGCACGTGGCAGCCAGGTCGAGGTGGCGGCCACCATGTTGTCATGCCCCAGGCCCCTCTGCAAAAGGCGGCGCCAGGGCGCCCTGCCAGAGACTGCGTCCAGGCGTACGCGGCCGCCACAGATGTACAACAGCCTCAAGTAGAACTGTACGAGCGCTTCACAGCAGCAAAATCTCGACAGAGCCGTGATCAAGAAAATCAGCCTGCAGCGTAGTCTTAGCCGGCTTTGGTGCTGAAACATGATGCATACAGGAGCAAACAAGCTTGTTTCTGGCCGCGGGCGTGCAGCGGTGAGGTCGCAGAATGTCGTCAACTTTGTTGCACTCTTGCGCGATCCAAGCTGGGCACTGTGTTTATGTCGGATGCCGCCAACCGCGTTTTCACCACCGCAGGCTGCCCCTATGCGGCGGTGTCGGCCGGCTGTCAGTGGCACCACCGTGGTGTCAAGGTGGGCCAGGCGGCGGCAATCAAGACGACAGCCTGCGCGCGCATTGCTGCAGAGGTGCAGAAATCAGCTCGGATGCTGCCGCTGCAAAACTTCAAGAGTTGGTTAATTACTGGTCACCGAAAAGGGAATGTGCCAGCCCGTTCTCGTGTCCTGACACTGCCCTACGCAACTCGCAGGGCACGGGGGCTGCGGGTGGTGGCCGAGGCGGTGCAGCAGCCTCCGGCGGTGAGCTGCTCCGGGGAGGGCCTGATAACACAGCGCGACAGGGGCAGACATCAAGCCCCCTGCTCATGCCTGGTTGCCGCCCGCGCGACTTGCAGTCATTTGAGCACCAACTCTACAGTAGTCTGTCTTTTGCTGCCTGAGTCGCGCCGGCTTTTCGAAAGCCCAAACACGCGATCAAAGAGGCCGCCGCCCTCGCCACACCTGCGTGCAGACAACCTCCTTCAACGGCAATGGGAACGGCCACCATGCCGCGCCCCAAAACGGCAACGGCGCAGTTGCTTTCAACGCCAACGGGAACGGCAATGGAAGGGTGCCCGCCCACAGCAGCGGCAGCACCCCCCTCAAGGCCGCCCTGAACGGCAGCGGCGGCGACCGGCTCAACGGGAATGGACGCGGCGGCGGGGGCGCGGCTGTCGTGCTCGAGGAGCAGGTGTCGGTCGATGAGTCAGGGCTGCAGTACGAGGGGATCGAGCTGGAGCCGCAGCGCAACCCGGGGCTGCTCGTCAGGGTGCGTGCCGCGGCCCGGGGGGGGGGGGCTGGAGGGCTGCGCGGGGCCCTACGACACACGCGCCTGTGCACGCACCAAGGCGCCGGCACGTGCGAGCACCAATGCGTGTGGCCGCACGCATATGACAAGGCTCATTTCTGCCGTGGCCGGCGGCGCTCCGGCTCGCGCGCGGTCGCTGGCAGCCCGCCGCCCGAGTTCTTGCCGGGGCGGCGGTGGCCGTGCGCTTGAGCGCCTTCCGCCGGCTGTCGCTTGAGCCTCTCCTGGAGCCGCCAGCAGCCACCCTTCACCCGCACATTCACGCATCCCATCAACACATTCATAACTATAAGATATACCCTAGGGATAAACCAGGACCATTTTTTTGCTGTGCTGCAGGTGCGCGACATGGTGAAGCACTTCAACACCGCCAAGGGCGTCTTCAAGGCGGTCCAGGGGGTGGACGTCAACATTGAGCCCTCCTCGATCTGCGCCCTCCTGGGGCCCAGCGGCAGCGGCAAGACGACGCTGCTGCGGCTGATCGCGGGGCTGGAGGACCCGACGGGGGGCAGCATCCTGTTTGATGATCTGGATGCCACAAACCTGCCGGTGCAGGATAGGCAGGCAAGCGGGGAATGAGGAGAGAGAGAGAGTGTGTGTGTGTGCGCGCGTGTGTGGCATGAATAGGGATATGAAAGGGGCGAGGGCAGCAGGGCAGGGGTGCATCAATGCTGCAGCAAGCGTTGCGGTGCGCGGGTGTAGTGTGGTGCAGGCGGTGCGCGGCACGCTGTGCCGCGTCGCGCCTGCGCCGCCTGCAGCGGGCAGCAATCAAGCGGTCCCCCGAAGCCGGCCGGGGCGCGCACCCCTTGCTTCTGTGCCGCCTGCCGCTTGTTGTGTTCTCGCTTTGACAAAACACCCCTCCATCCGACACTCGCACACCGCGTCCCTCTCCCCCCCCCCCCAAAAAAACAAAGGTCGGCATGGTGTTCCAGAGCTATGCGCTGTTCAACCACATGACAGTGGCCGAAAATGTCAAGTTCGGACTCGAGGTGGGCGCGCCGCACGTTTGGCAGACTCCCAGCAGATTCCCGCCAGCTTCCTGGCAGCCAGCTCTTGCCAGCTCAGCCTGGGTTGGCAGGAGGTCTCGAGGCAAGCTCCAAGCAACCCAGGGCACCTGTCGCGCGCAAGCTCGCCGCCCGCCCCAGCGCGTGTGGCACGTCCTCGGACGGCCCCGAACCGACTCCAGAGCCAGCAGCTGTGCAGGACACCCTGCCCCCGTCTGCAGGACACCCTGCCCCCGTCTGCGCCGCTTGTACACACCATTTGAACCCCCGCCCAAACAAATATTAATCAGGTGCGGAAGCTGCCTGTGGACATCAACAAGCGGGTGGCCGACCTGCTGGAGCTGGTGCAGCTCACAGGCCTGGGCGACCGCTTCCCCCGCCAGCTCAGCGGCGGCCAGCGCCAGCGCGTGGCGCTCGCTCGCGCGCTGGCGTCCAACCCGAAGCTGCTGCTGCTGGACGAGCCGTTTGGGGCGCTGGACGCGGTGGTGCGGAAGCAGCTGCGGGCGGGGCTCAAGGAGATCGTCAGCACGGTAAATTTTGAATATTTGAATGTGTTTTTGAGGGGGAGGGGACCATGCTTGAGGGCGGGGCAGCAGCAGCCTGCTGATTTATGCGGGACTCATCATCCTCAGGGCCCAAATTCCAGAAGTCGAACGTGTTTGGTGTAGCCATGCAGACAGACGGGCGCTTGGCAGGCGGCCGCCCAAGCTCGCGCCCAGCAAGGCGCAACAGAGGACGCCCCTTCCCTGCCCTGAGGCCGGGCCATCCTCGAGGAGTCTACAGCACCACCCCTGCTGCCCCCCCCTCTCCGCCCCAGCGCCGCGCGGCCGCTCCCACCC